CCCCCCCCCCCCCCCCCCCCAACGTCTCGACGCTATCCTGTTGAGCATCATGTTCTTCTGCGGCAACTTCGCTACTGGTGTGGGACTTTGGTGGCTGGTGGGGGGACGTGTAGATGGAAAAAGCGCAGGATCTTGTAAACAAGGACTGCAACTGGATGTCGATACTCATCGTTCAAGCCTCGATATTCAAACTTAATCCAGAAACCTAGGCCGTCGGCCCCGAGCCCTCTAAATCTTTCCTGCAGCGACATTGCCCGCAACCCGCTGCCAAAAAGCGCCCGACCAACTGCCCAAGCTTTGTTTACCCGATGACACCAAGCCGCAGGAGTAACAAAGGCCTACATACGTACTTAGCCTTGAGTCCTTCGAGGCTTTGCACCCTAAACCCTAAACCCTATAACCCTACAACCCTAAAGCCCCATACCATTGGACTAGGGATCTGGTTGGTATGCATAATCAGGACAGTTTGAGCAGCATTGGGATCTGAACCTTAATCAAGGCCCCCCCCAATGCTGGGTTTAGGGTTTAGGCTTGTTAAGGCCCATTCCACCAATCATTGAGGCTGCTCAACAAAGACCCCATTGCTTGAAGAAGCCTCAGTTAAGATGATTAGTAAAGCCTTGAGCATAGCACTTGTTTGTAAAACCTTCTGAAGAACCCTGAACTCCAAGCCCAAAGCTGTCACCTGAAACCCTACATAAACACAAACCCTTCCGCACCCTAAACTGCCCTAAACCATAAAGCCCTACACAGCCTAAATGTTCGTGCAGCCTTATATGCATTAGTATGTCCCTTATGTGACTCTCATGGAAACACGAACAGAACCCGTATAGAACTCTTAGAGCAAACAGAGCTCGCAGTAAAGCCGCAAAGCATCAAAACTCCAAGCCCAATAAAACCCTCAAACCCAAAACCCTAAAACCCTCAAGCCCTTTCCTAGAGGCTCCATATACACTACTATTCTGCAATCAGGCTCCCCAAAAACCATAATAAGGATGGTCTTTTGGGGCCCAATTCCATAATGGTAGTCTACATGGAGCCTCTGGGTATGTAAGCCCTAAACCCAAACCCTAAACCCGAAAGCCTAAACCCTAAACCCTAAACCCTCAAGCCCTATTTAAGCCCTAAACCCTTAAGCGTATCTGTGCGGTCGCAGCACCGCTGCTTTCGTAAGTGCCCGGAGTGTGTATGCATCGGCAACCTGGGGAGTCCCCCATAGCTTTATCCTTTAAGGGTGGGTTTAGGGTTTAGGGTTTGATTGGGTTTTCGGGCTGAGGGGTTAAAAGGTTTAGGGTTTGGGGTTTTAGCGGGTTTAGTAAGGATTATGGTTCGACACCTTTAAGGTTGCTTATGGGTTGTACAAGGCTGCACGATGTGGAGGCGCATGGGACTTAGCAAGCAAGGTTATATACATCACTTTGGCAACCCTAAACCCTAAACCCAACTTTGCGGGGCTAGGTAGTGACAAGTCTGGTTCCCTTATTTAAACGTCGCATGGGTTCGCCAAGTAACCCCTAAACCAAAACCTAAACCCTAAACCCTAAACAGCCAGAGCCTAAACCCTAAACCCTAAACAGTCACATCCTAAACCCTAAACCCTGAACAGCCAAACCCCCAAACCCAAAGCCCTTTAAAGGGCGAAGGGCCCGAAGCCCTAAACAGGAGGTGGAACACTTTCGGGGCTTCGGGGGTTTTGGGTTTAGGGTTTAGGGGTTTAGGGTTTAGGGTTTGGTGCTTTAGGGTTTTGGGTTTAGGGTTTAAGGTTTTAGGTTTTGGGTTTAAGGTTTAGGGTTTAGGGTTTAGGGTTTAAGGTTTAGGGCTTTAAGGCTTTGGGTTTAGAGTTTAGGGTTTAGGATTAAGTTTTTGGGGGTTTAGGCTTCAGGGTT